TGGAGGCATTGGAGTGAATGCCTACCAAAAAGCACAAAACTTTCCTGAGTATAAACCTAAGTACCACCAAAACAAACAAAGAAGAAACCCTATATATAAACATGAGTAACATTTATTTTTAACTAACTAGTTTTAAAAAAAAAAATAGTGAAGAGTGATAATGTTTTACATTTTTGCAAATTTCTTTAATGTCTGGCTTAATAGAGGAGCCTCATAAATGTTTCTGCATTTAATCTATTATGGTACCACTGCCATACAGCCTGTGTGTAGGACTTGTACAGTGTACAGAGGAATGTGGTGAAAATGGCAAATAACAGTATTATGAAAAGTTTTGACCTCATGGACCTCCTATAAGATATTCGGGCTCCTCAGGAACCCTTACAGCACACTTTGAAAACCAATGAACTAGATCCACATATATCATAAACACTGTTCAGTGAATATGTAATATGATGCACACATTATAATACTGCTCACATAACATTAAAACACACAAAGCAATAATTGATATTGGTTTAAGACGTGTATTAGGACAGTGCTAACTTCCAGCACAGCAAAGGGATAAGGGGGAACCCTTAACTGGATCTACGAGATTTTATTTCATTAAACAAAGATATGAAGCAAACACATTACAAAATATTAAGATTTGTTAAATCTCGGTGTACTTTTCAGTAATTTTTAAATATTTCATAATTTAAAACTTAAATTTTTAAAAGCCTAATGGCTGTATACTCCAAGGTCACAGCTTCTTTAACCTTTTGAATAAAATACAGTTTATAAGATATCTGGATTTTATAAAATGTTTAGAAAAACAATTTGGCAGGAATAACAGGCTGGCCACATTCCAATGAGATAAGAGGTGTCCGGGAGGGAGGTAACTTGGGCCTGGGTTTGACCTGCAGCCCTAATGAGAAGTGTGGTGTAATATGAATACTCCTTGGTCAAGAACACACTGACTAGATAATTGATTTTGAAGAGCTGGAAACTATTCAACTACACCCAATAACTGAGATAACTGTTTGTAGAGACAATGATCATATGCCAGGTACTGCTTGGGGACAAAGACAAATGAGAATCTGCGTTTATATTCACACCTTAGAAAAGACAAAAATAAAAACATACAGTTAAAATACCATAGATTTAATGCTAAACTGAAGACATCCCATTGCTCTATGGGACATTGCCATTTAACGGAAAGAAAACAAGAAACAGGAATTGTTTTTAGGGGGTTCTCAGCTTTAAAAAAGAAGAAAAGGAAAAAAAGGTTTTCTGTAAATAGTGTTGGGCATCTACTATGTGCCAGAAAAATCTGGTTCCATCCATGTTGAGACAGTTTACCCAGTTTGCACGTAGATACTGCCAGTGGGCAACAGCAAATGCTGGACAAGAAACTCAAGAGACAGTGCACAAGGTAAGACACACCTAGGTGAAGGGAGAACTTCCAGAGAAAGAAAAGGCTACAGGATTAACCTTGAGGGAAATCCCACCATAGAAAACAGAGAAGGCACGGAGTTTGTGAAACACAGAACACTTTTGTATGACACAGCTGTTAGCATGTTGTCTTAAGTTTCCCAATTTGGGAAATAATTGGATTTAGGAGTAAGAGCATCAAAAAGAAATGAAAGTACTGGTGAAAGAAAAGAAGAGACAGGAGAGGTTTTTGTAAGATGAACAAACTGAGTAATATTTACAAGGAGAAGGAAAGGCACCAGCAGAATTCAAGGGTAAAGATGCAAGAGACAGTATCACTGACAAACCTTGTCCCAAAGGCAGGGTGGGAAGTGTAGGCAGAGCTGTCTAGTCAAGGCTGGAGGAGTTTGTCAAGCGGTAAGGGCTCTGAAGAGCATCTGTGTAGCAAGCACATGAGGCCCTGAGTTCAAGAACCATACCGCCAAAAAATAAATAAATAAAATAAAAAAAGATGCCTAGCGCAACCTAGTCAGAAACAGAGGGATTGCATCATGTGCAAAGTAGGGAAACTGAACTGTTTACATGGCATGGCCATTTAGCCTTCTCAGTTAAGTAGAAGATTAAGTAATGGTAGGCAAGAACAGAGATGCATACCTGTGATCCCAGCACAAGAAGGCTGAGGTTGGAGGATCTCAAGTTTGAGACCAGCCTGAGTTTGGTAAGTTAAGACCCTGTGTCAAAAAAAAAAAAAAAAAAAAAAGCCAGTGGGCACTGAAACACAAGCAATATGAAAAAAACTTTTAAACAACCATGAATGTGTTTTTTGAAAAAGGAAATTGGTGTCTACCTGAAAAATACACAAATCAAAAACTACCATCTCATTTATTCAAGATGGATGGTAACAAGGTGTTCTAGCAGTCGGTTTTCCAGATCATCAAGGTCTGCCCTTTCAGATAAAAAATAATTTTTGTGCTGGAGGCATAGCTCAAGCAGTAGAGCATGTTAAGCCTTGAGTTCAAACCCCAGTATCATCAAAAGAAAGAAAAAAGCATTCAAAACAAAATGTTGTATTTAACCACTTCTGTCTGATACCTTCGAAATAATACAACCTGAGTTCAGTTTAATCTTCACCTCGAACATCACTGTTGCTGTACTGTTTAGCTTTTTAAAAGAGCTTCTTTATAGCTCTCTTATGTCTTTTCCAGCTGATAAACTATAAAAGCACCTCGTTTTCCGAAGGTATGTTTACCCCTAACACTTCTACAAGTGCAGCCACCTGAGCAACTTGCTTCTAGGCAGCCTCACCCACGCTGTTTCTCAGACTTTCCTATGCTATGGCCTTTTAAATAAACTGTCCTTTTGCAGATGTCGCTGCTCTGGCCTGCTGCGGTCAAGAAAAATGAACAACTTAAAACCTACATAACTCATAGGTTGCATACAAAATTGTAGGAAACGCATTCCGCACATGTGCATCTTGATAGTCAAATATTAACAAAACACAAGCAAAAAGGCTTGGCTTAGCAAACAAGCACTCCAACAAAACAGTGGTTACTTTCAACAGGGGGGAAGAACACAGATTGCAAAGGCATGTGAAGGCCACTGTCCTTTTAATAATTACTCTTCCAGCCTACTTTTCAAAACTGACTTCTTAAAAAACGACAACGGGAACTTACAGGTTCGTTTTCTCATTTTCGTCAAGTACTCCTATAATTTCCTAGTCCTATAGCACCAGTCCTATAATTTCCAACCGTGGTAAATGAAATGTTAGAAACTCCTCTTTGTTTACAATAGAAGTAACAATAGCTACAGTTATTTGGGGGTGAGAAATTTTTTGGTGGTACTGGGGCTTGAACTCAGTACCTCATGCTTGCTAGGGCAGGTGTTCTACCACTTGAGTCACTCCACCTCCGCCAGCTCTGGTGTGAGAAATTTGGGTAGAAATTTTATTACTAAAGTAACAAAATCTGCTTTACTTCCGAACATTCTAGTTAACTGTCGTGACAGTGAAAACACTGGTCAACCTAACTCTCTAGGTTATTTCTTCAATGTGAAACTTGTCCCAGTCCGACGGAAGTGCCAAGTGACTATGAAGCGCAGCGTGGTGTGCCATCAGTGTACTGGCTGAGGACGTCCTTGCCGCCGCCTCCACGGGGTGCTTGAGCCCCTACTGCTGGTTGGCAAACGCTTCCGCCAAGTCCCTTTTCTTGTCAGAATTCCCCACTCCCCTACCTGGACCATCCACTTCAGCCCCACTGTAAACACTTGCTGTTTGCTGAAGAAGCTTCACCCTTGAAATGCCCTTTGCCCACCCCCGACCCCACCCAACAACGTCCTGCATTTGCAACCGCAAAATGCCACCTACTCCAGGAACCCTCTCCTGATGCTCCAAAAGGTAACTGGATGTACCTCGGCCGCAGCACTCAGTGCATTTCACCTTGCCTCATTTACCTCCGAACGCCAACGACGAACTTCGTGCAGCCCCGTGCACAAGAACCTCGTTAACCTTTCTTAGCACCTAGCACGATGCACCAACCCTGGGCTCCGTAAGCAGGAAACTTGTACCGTGTGCAATCAACACTACTTTAGGGGTGGAACTCCGCCTTAAAATGTCACGAATAAAGAATCTAAATGTCCTGACAGGTACATCACATTATATTGGCCTTCAAGCAAACAACTTCCTGCCTCAAAAACAGTAAAGACTGCAACAGTAATTAAGAAAGTTGTTTCCACATAAATGAATAAAAGACTCTTTCAAGTGTTTTATTCTTCCGCTTTCGTGCTGTGCAATTTTTTTCCCTATTGGTCAAAAAAAAACGGTGGGAACTTTCCCATCAATTTTTGTTTCTTTATTCAGATACTCAAGGAGACAATGATTGGCGCGGAATAACCGCATCGAGGTCACACTAAGCGGCATGGATGACTTTACTTAAGCAAAAATAAAACTTCCAGGGTCCCACTGGTGCCACCCTCCCCGACCGCCCTCAGGGCGAAGTTGGGCGAGATGGTTCCCGAGTCCCGCGGCGGCGACAGCCGCCTGCAGCAGCTTAGCTGAAATGCAGCGGAAACAGCAGCTAGTCACGAGGCTATGGGAGGCAGAGCAGGAAGGTGGCGCAGCCGCGGAACGCCTGGAACCCGAGCGTTCATCATGGCGGCGAGGGCAATGGCCGCTGTGGGGAGCGAGCACGCCCTTTCGCGCGCACACGCCGCCGCCCCGGGACTCCGGTGCCCGTCACCGGCGCCGCCGCCGCTGCCCGCTCTCCCACCCCCCCTCACGGACTGTAGCGGAATTTTCTCTACAGACACCGCCTTCAAAATGGCGGCTCCCCCTCCCAGCAACCCCCTCAGTCGTCCCCTGCAGCAGGCGCCGAGCCGCCGCCATCTTGTCCCCCGTCCCTCCCCCCCTCGCCGATATTTACATAGCGAAAATCGGCCCGGCCGGCCTGCGGCCTTCACCTCACGCCTGCAGCCTTCGCCTCCTCGCCAGGCCTCGCCCCCGCGCGGTGCCCCGGGCCGGCCGCGGCGCCCACCCAGGACCCCTCAGCCGCCTCCCGGACCGCCGGGCAATCCAGTCCCAACCCCCGCCCGCTTACGGAGCTCGCCTCCGCCGCCGCTCAGGGTAGCCGGGCTCCTCCCCGGGCCTAACTGCGGCCTCCTCAGGGCCTGCTCAGCGTCGCACGCCACGCCGCCCGGCCTAGCGCGGGAGGGCGCCTCGCGGGCCGCCGACCAGGCCGGGACCAGGCCGCCGCCCGCAAACTAGGCCCCACGGCCGCGGCGGCACCCGGGACTCACCGGACGGGAGTGCGGGCGGTCGGCGACGGTGGCGGGTGCTTCAGGCCGGCCTTTCTCTGGAGCACTGGGCCGGGCTCCGGCTGGTGGGGCGGGCGGAGGGAGGGAGGAGGGGCCGAGCTCGGAGCTGACAAAAAGCGGCCCAGCTCCCCGGCACGGGCCCGCCGTCAGCACGTCACGTCACCGCCCGGGAGAGAGACCCAGGAAAATGCGGAAGGGTAGATGGGCCCCCTCCTCCGCCCGGTGGGTCCCCCTGGCGCCCCGGGTCGGCGCCGCTTACGCCCCGCGACCGGGAAGCCCAGTGGCCTCGCTGTGGCGGGGTCTCCGGCGGCCTGAGTCTCCGTGACAGCGCCCCCCTTCTTTCCACCTCCTCCGCGCTCCCGCCCGCCGCCGCCGCTACACACGCGCCGCTGCCGCCGCCTTGGCCGTAAAGCCCGCGCGAGGCCGCGGTCTGTCGACCCCGCGGAGAGGCAGGAGGCCCGGGTCGCCCCCCACCATGTCCGTGGGCCGGGGCCTCCGCAGAGACCTACCGCCTCGCCGCGCCCGTACTGGCCGAGGCGCCAGCTCGAGTTGTTTGCAGGCCCTCAGACCCCCGCCCGCAGTAAATGTGTTTTCTTCATCCCCGTGGCTGGGGAAGAAGATAAATTTAGCAACCCCCGGCGTCCCCTGCCTTCCCTTAAAAAAAAAAAAGAAAACTCTTTCAAATAAAATGAAAATGGACTTGCCTGTTTAAATGGGTGTGCGGGCAAGAGGAGGGGGAAAAGGTTGCCCTAGAACAACCACCAAGCCCCTTAATTTTTTAATAAATAAGCTTTCAGGCAGGGAGTCGAATAATTAATTTTGGTAGTAGGGTAGCGTAATGAGGGAAAGATTGCATTTTCAAACGGGTTTCGCACAGTGCAGTGAACAAATTTTTAATGGTATATTTTATGTATACCTGCGTTTTACAGGGAGCATAGGAAATACAAGTCTTCTGTAATTCATAAATGATGAGTTTTCCACATTATTACATAAATAGCTACAAGTAGCAGAATAGGGTATGGATTTTTTTTTAATAAACTACTTAAACAAGCCTTTTAAAGTTAAAAAGGCGGGAGAGAAGGGGAAAACGTATTTGATCCAACAAAGCATTTATCAACTTCAAAAATATTTTCTTGTGTTTTCCTGAGTTCAATTTTTTATGCTATATTTCTGTTACTGAACTTGGAACTCAAACTATGTTTAAAAGTTACCAGGAAAAGTTAAATACTGCTCTTACATTTACCCAGAATCTGACATTGCTATGCTTCTTAAACACAGCACTAAATACTAACTACGTTTTTAAACAATAAAGAACACAAAAAATTATAATGCAAATAGCATACGGGTGCAAAATCTCTTTACAGAGGCCATGTATTGCAGTTGCTGTCACAACTCCCAGAATGCAAATTGTCCCTTCCTCAGACATCTTACAGTCACGAAATGCTTTTAAAAAGGAAAAACAAAGCTAGTGTTAGAAGAAATCTCTTGAGAAAACCCTAGATGATGATCTTCCTCTCAGAGCTATAGCTTTGATTTTTTTTCCAAGTGACTAAATTTCCTTTCAAATATGATAAATGACAACATGTCTTCATCGTTTATAGAAAATTCCTTCAGGTTGTGATAGGAGTGTATTCACAGGAAAGTAAATAAAGCTAAGCAATACTGCAGTTGGCCTGCACTTGTGTCCCAGCTGTTCTGGAGACTGAGGCAGAAGAGCTTGAGCCCAAGAGTTCAAGATCAGCCTGGCAACCCAGTGAGATCTTGTCTCAAGAAAATGAAAAAGAACCCAGGCTCCGGTGGCTCACGCCTATAATCTAGCAACTCAGGAGGCAGAAATCAGGAGGACTGTGGTTTGAAGCCAGCCCGGGAAAAAAAAGCCATCAGGAAAAAGGGCTGGTGGAGTGGCTCAAGGTGTAGGTCCTGAGTTCAAGCCCCATTACAGAAAAAAAAAAGTGCGTTTAGGGGGGAAGGGGGGGAGATTGTGCTTTACAGTTTAAAAAAAAACTGACATCCAATGTGTAATACTAGGTATGCCAAGAATGGGGTCTCTTAAATCATCCATTCAACTGTAAACAGTATTTAAGACACAAAAACCCTAGTGTCAACATTCTTGTTACTAGTTTTTCCATTATTACCATCAAATACCTCTAAGTCTACCAGTATTAATCACTTAAGAATGTCCAAGGAAGGCTGGAGGAGTGGCTTAGTGGTAGAGCGCCTGCATGAGGTCCTGAGTTCAAACCCCAATACCACAAAAAAAAAAAAAAAAAGTAAAACAATGTCGAAGGAGAATAAGGGAAAAACACTTTCTCAGTTTTAAAAATCACACATCGTGGCCGGTTAGCTCAGTTGGTTAGAGCGTGGTGCTAATAAAAATCACACATCATTTAGATCAAAGAACCCATTGTCATTACTTGTCCTACATAAAAAGACTTAACTTTGGAAAGAAAGTAAGAATAGCCTAGTTTTATTATACTACTTAAACCTTTATTAAAGTCCAACAACAACATTAAAAAGAACCAAAGATTATTCTATAATGATTGTACAAATGAAATAAAATATATGTGTGTGCGTATATGTATACTTTTTGTTTGTTTTTAGTTTTCAAAAAAGGGAAAGTGAGCAGGGGTGTAGCAGAGCCCTTGCCTAGCACTGAGGAGGATGCCCAGCACCACACACACACACACACACCAGTAATTTGTACTTCAAATCCACTTAGAAAAGGCAGTAAACAACTTTGTTAAATAGTGTTAAAAGGACAACGATTAAAAACTATTTTACTAGGAGTACACTTAAATATTATGATAAAGTGAAGATGCAAAGTGTGTTAATAGCAGACATAAAAAATCATTTGATACTATAATTAAAAACTACATACTTTATGAAAGTACAATAGAACCTGAGGTTACCTGAGATCACAAAAAGCATTTGGCAATCAAACCTTGCATGATTAAGCAGCAGACATCTACTTACTGCCTATCTTGCCTTAATACTTTTAGTCACTGAGGTTTTAGGGCCTGGTACTGGAGTTTGAACTCAGGGCCTCTTGCTCATGTTAGACAGGTGCTAGGCAAGCACTCGGCATGGTACTTTGCATCATTGTTTTCTGTTAGGGACCCACACCATCCTGGGCAAATGGAAGTGCTTGCCCTTGGGGAACTCAAAATCAGAATAAAAACTTTTTTTTAATATTTTTTGTTAGCAGTATTGGCACTTGAACTCAGGGGCTTCATAGGCAAGCACTATACTGCTTGAGCCACACCTCCAGCCCTCTTCCTTTTCTTAGAATAAATTAATTATAGAAAGGGGTTTCTTTGTGATATTGCCATACATGCATACAATGTACTTTTTTTTTTTTGCAGTATTGGGGTTTGAACCAAGGTACTCATGCTTGCTAGGCAGGCACTCTACCACTTGAGCCACTCAGCCAGCCCAACGATGTGCTTTGATTAAATTCATCCCCTCTATTACACTTTCTTAACCCCCGCTCCCCCTCGCAAATGAAAACATTCTTGAGCAAGACATGGTGGTACGTGTCTATAAATCCCAGCACTTAGGAGGCTAAGGCAGGAGGATTGCGAGTTTGAGACCAACCTGGGCTACATAGGGAGTCCAAAGCCAACCTCATGTACTTAGAGAGCCCCTGTCTCAAAAAACAAACAAAAAAATCTTAAAAGTGTGTCCATTTAAATTTTATCCAGGAAGATTAAGAATAAAACACTTCAAAAACATCTGCTATGCATACAAAATGGCAAGTTTTAAAGCAGACAAAGGAATTTTGATGATGTGCTAAAATTTATTTGTTCCTTCAGTGCTATTAATGTATATCAGATAGTTAAAAACATCTACTCAAGGTTTTGAAGATGTTTTAATAACTTCGCTAAAAATCTGTGGCATATTTATAGGTGCTTGAGCCAGAAGCAATATAAGACCTTTCAATTATTTTTCCAGAGAAATATTAGTCAGAAAAGAAGTGGCTGATTTGCACTATATGTCAGTCACTGATGGAATACAAAGAAAAAAACAATAAATTATTGGCTTATGAGAAAACATAGGACTTTTTGAATAAAGTTGTGATAATGCATTATTTTATAACCCAAAGATTAAAAAAAAAACTTACCTTTCCCTAGAAAGGTCTTACTTTTATTGATCTAAGCATGCTGGTGGCTCCCGCCTGTAATCCTAGCTACTCAGGAAGCAGAGATCATGAAGATCATGGTTCAAAGCCAGCCTGGGCAAATAGTTCCTCAGACCCTATCTCAAAAAACCCATCACAAAGAAGGGCTGGTGGAGTGGCTTAAGGTGTAGGCCCTGAATTCAAGCCCCAGTATCACAAAAAAAAAAATCATAAGAACTGCTTATCTGATACTTGTTGTACTTAACATGAGCAAGTTGAATCTTCTGTAGGAATTCAGTTGGCTATAACTAATTCCAACTAAGTCTTTGAGCTATACAGCTTCCCCAAGGAAAGCAATTTTAAAATAAACAGTGGCTGACAATTCGGTGATTTTCAAACAATATTTTTCATATGAGTCATTAGTTGTATATGACATTGCTTAATTCCTGAAAATCACCAATGGCCAAATTCTACCTCATGGATTATAAATCACAGAACACAGTAGACAAACTAGCTCTGCTAAAGACGTAAAAATCAATACTCAGAGCCAGGTGCTGGTGTCTCTCGCTTATAATCCTAGCTACCCAGGAGGCAGAGATCAGGAGGATCGCAGTTTGAAGCCAGTCCAGGCAAATAGTTCCATGAGACCCTATCTCGAAAAAACCCATCACATAAAAGGGCTAGTGGAGTGGCTCAAGATGTAGGCCCTGAGTTCAAGCCCCAGTACTGCAAAAAAAAAAAAAAAATACACAGGCCTGGAAAGCACAAACAGTAACAGGAAGCACCCTCAGAGCCTAGATTGTGGCTTCTACAACTTTCCACTGAAGGAACCAGGGCTCCTCAGAGAAATGAATGACTGCCTCTTGGACTGCACCAGGAAAGTAGACGATGAGCCAGGAACACCTCATACCAGAAAGCAAGAAAAGAAAGTACCAAAACTTACTAGCAGTGGGTCAAAAGGGCTTAGGAGCCAGTTTAAATAGTTCATCTGGTAGCCAGGCATGGTGGTTCATGCCTGTAATCCTAACTACTTGGGAGACCAAGATTGGGAGGATCTAGGTTTCAGGCCATCTGAGGCAAAAAAAAAAGTTATGAGACCCCATCTCAGCAGAAAAAACTGGGTGTGGTGGTGCATGTCTGGCATCCCAGCTACAACAGGAAGCCTAAAATAGGAGGATTGTCCAGGCTGGGCAAGGCATAAAGCCAGACCCGATCTCCAAAATAGCCAGAACGA